TGATAACTAGATACCTTTCCTCCAGTCTTTCAATGCTAAATTTGGGATGCCTAGCGCATGTATCCCTTGTGTAGTTGTGGGCAAAATTCAAACCAAACCAAAAATTAATTCCTGCTATGAACAAAGAGAACCTGAGTGGTTTCTTGGTTCTGACCTCCCAGAGCATTAGCCTAAATACCAGTGAAGTATAAAAGTACTAGCCAATATGGTTTCCCAGTAGGAAGAAAATAACAGCGTTTCAATTGCACTTTCTATACCTACTCTATATTGTAATATAGTCTTAAGTATAGTTATACTTAAAAAGTATTTTATGGAATACAATGGAAGACCGTCTACATTATACAAAGTTGGTTAAGTAAGTGAGTGATTACTCACAATATAGTAATAATAATAACTGTTCCAAAACGTATCTCCTTATTTTTACATTTGGCTTTTTCACATTAAGTGTCAGCATTCCAAATTGATACTCCACCTATTTACAATCAAGTCTCCAAAAAATTTCATTTCATATTAGTAGAAACAAATGACCCTTTTATAACTCGGTAGTTTTTGAGAACAATTCCTGGAACTTGGAATTTACACCCAGACTGTTGTCACCATATTATTTTTACACAGTAGCTGTCAACGTTCCAAGCTGATGCCCCATTATTTACAATAAAGTCCTCAAAACAATTTCAGCTCATATTAATAGTAATGAATGACCCATTTCATAAGTTAATTGTTTAACTTAATAGTTCAACCTTGAAATGAATAGTACTGGTTACTTCTGCCTGTATTTTCATAGGTAGATAAAGGGCTTGGATTTTAGATATAGTACCAACTGAAAAGTTTTTTTTATTTACTTGTCTGTTTTACCAAAACTTTAGTTCACAAACTTACGTCTCATCAACCCAAGATCTGGCGAGTTTATGTCTACTCTTACGTAGATCAAAAAAAAAGGAAAGAGTGGTGTGCAGACGGAATCACTTGGTTAAGTTAAGAAACATGTATCTTATCTTGTTCAAAACAAAAAATAAATAATATGTACTTTGTAGTAAAAGACGATAACAAAGTGTTTAGTAATCATGCTTATGAGTTCTATAACTAGTCTGTCCAAAGCCACATGGAATTCGGAAGAAGAACAATAACAGAAAACATATAGGGAGTGCTGTACAAAATTGCATTCCAGAAAGTAAGGCCAATTGTCACTCTCTATTAATACTTAATAAAGGAGCCAATTATATAATTACCAGTAGTGACTTGGAACAAGTTCGCAACAAAATAAAAGTCCTACGAGCCAAATTAAAATTAGATTATGACGAGTTATATGCATATTGGTACTTGATTTGGTAGTCAAAACAGGTTTCCCACAAATGATAGCAGCGTTAGAGTCAATACTTGAAGTTTCATCTGAAGTTCCCTGATGCTTTCATATGACATTACATTTAAACTAGGATACTTTTATACCTCTTCTCTCCCCTATCACTACATTGTATTCAAAGCGGCTCCTGTTTTACCAGTAGGTTTCATGATATGTCTAAGGAAAACCAAACTAACACATCAACACTTCTTTAGAAGAATTTGCTTGTTAATGTCAGAATTAACAAGAAAACACGATGTAATTTGCACTGGCCATAAGGCAAGTATAGAAACATAATGTATTTTATATTAACCATAAGGCAAATATACATAACAGTAACTTGACAAACAAAGAATTATAAGCATAATGAAATAGTTTTATTTTGGGGGAATATACTACATGTTTCGACAGAATTTTGAAGACAGACTAATGTTCTGTCGAAACATGTAGTGTGTTCCCCCAAAATAAAACTTCTTCGTTATGGTTATAAATCATTGTTTGTCAGTTTACTAATATGGTAACATAATGTGCTTCCATATAAAAATATAGAGAATGCCACTAATGCTACGCCATTCCAGGACTAGTAATTCGGAACTGCTAGAATCGCATTCTAACTGATGTGAAGTTCTTGGTCTTAAAGCACGTAAAAGAAGTGACATTAGTGTATATCAGAATCACATTTTAAGACTTTTGGATAGTCAGTCTTACATGAGTACAAAATGCAGTTAAAGCATTTCTCACCGAAATGGAGTCAGGCGATCATAGAATACTATCAGTATTTCCTTGAGAGCACCATTCTGAAAAAAGAATGTCAGGTACCTTTTAAAAACATTACGTGTATATTGTCCAATTAATGGGTCAATAACAGATACCTCAAACAGCTTTAATATTTTTCGGAAACGCTTATTCAGTAGAAAGGAAATTAGAGCACATGGTATCATCTTATTACTGTTCTACCTCCAAAATTTCTACTTTCCTAAAATTCTTCTCAGAAATAACAGCCTTATTGAAATGTGTTCTGCATTCGGCTGTACATTGGAAGAGGCTACGTTTTCAGAGGATGTGCTTGATCCTGATCGGGTTATGGATTTTGTAAAGAGTGGAGAGGTTCTATGTAATTGGAAGAAGCAGTTGTTACTGGTGGTCTGAGAGCCAAGACTTTGAAACAATGGTAAAGCACACTCGTATGTAGCACAAAACATCGCTGGATCCAGTTTCCCAAAGTTTCATTGTTACAGGATTAAAAGATGCTATGTGTGTGGTAACTTTACTTCTTCGGGAAAACTGCTTATGTCACAGTACTAAAGAATACTACCATATACTTGCAACGAAACAATATCTGGGATTGGAAGATAAAAAAAAGTATTTCGTTTGAACCTTTTACAGTTAGAGAGAGAGGGAGAGAGAGAGAAAAACTCAGGCAATTTACGTTCTGGAAGAAAGAAGCCAAGAAATATATGTGATATTGAAGTAACACCTGCGCCAGATTCTCTGGAAACTTGGTATACAAGTAATTTTACAAACCAGAATCACGGGAATAGAAATACATATTTTTGCCAGTTTTTCTGGAGAAAATAATTTAGGTTTGCTACAAAGATTTATTGCTGACATATATCAGAAGGAAGGTGGATGCTTCATAAGTTGGAACGATTATGAGATTTATAACCTAATGGACCTTCATCTTCAAGACAATAACTACGACTGCAGAGTCCATGCTTGTAATATGGCTATATCATTTGTTCAGCAACATGTTCTGAATACTCATAAGATATGCTAAAGTAAGAGTTTAGGTTGGTCGAAAAATGTTGAATTATGATAGAGAAACAAACCCAGCAGCATTATCACTTGCTAAATTATGTTAAAGTGAGATGTCAGGTAATAAACTGTTACGACAGCGGAAGTCCCGTGAGGCTGGTAAACACGTGATGAGTTTCTAGAAGGATCATGAAGGCCCGAATGTTTGCCAGACGCCCTCGATTTTAATATATAAGCTCGGCAAATGATTGCAGATAGAGAGATATAGAGACAGATAATTGAGTCGAGTGAGCGGTAGTGACCGAAAGTAAAGTGCTTGAATCGTTGTGAATTATAGCGTGTGTTAAGTTAAAGTGACTGTGGAAATTAAGTGTATTGCAAAGTTGTATTGAGAAAGAGTAAACTAGTTTTATTCAAGAAAGGACTTGAATCGCTGAAGTTCTCCGGAAAGAATTTTTACGGGAAATTAACAAACGAACAGAGATGTAACAACACTTTTCCACAATCAAAGAGACCATTTGGTCGTTTATGTTAACTTGAATGATAAGTATAATTTAATTTATCTATCATGTCAACTCTTGTAAATAATGAACTATGCAATCTAAGCACATTCCTAGAGACTATATTGCAAATAATAGCGCAAAAACTTTGGGGCATTAACACCTATTGTCAAAAGACAAATTCTAGGATGTACGGCACAAATAGATGGGGCACAGAATGCTGCACGGCGTAAAGAGACAAGATGCATTACGCAAAGCACAGCATTAGTAAGTAACACAGAGCACAGACCATAGCGTGCAATACAGCGTGAAGACAATTTTATTACACGAAGCACTACACACTTTACAACGCACGACACCGATTGTGAAAAAATAAAATCAACATTTGGTACAGTCAGTGTCAATTCTGGGTTCAAGGGATTGTTTTTAGGATAAGACTACTGAATTACGAAAACGATATTTAGTGCTACTAATATGAGCTGACATTTTTTTTGGGGAACTTGAGTGTCAATAGTGTGGAAAAGCCTCAAATTGCTGAACCTGTTGTGAAAAAACAAATTAAAGGGTGAGATAGGAACATTAGTTTGAGCGCCAATTCGTAGTGCCAGGAGCTGTTTTTTTATTATAGAACTACTGAAATATGAAATGGGGCAGTTAGTGTTACTAAAATAATCTTAAACTGTTTTGAGGACTTTATTGTAAATAATGGGGAACAGTTTGAAACGCTGATACTTTTTGTGAAAAAAGCAAAATGGAGACCTGGGAAGAGTAGTTTGGATGCCAATTTCGAATTCCAGGAATTGGTCCCCTGGACAAAACTACAGAATCATAAAAGTTTATATTTAGTACTACTGAGATGAGATGAAATTATTTTTGGGAACTTGATTGTAAATAGTGGCGCAACTGCCTCGGAATGCTGACATTTATTGTGCAAAAGCAAAATGAAGATATGAGGGACAGTAGATTGAGTATCATTTCCTAGTTCTAGGAATTGTTCCACAGGATAAAAGCGCTGAATGAGCCTTTTAAAGTTTGGTTTTTTGTTAAACACAAAGCTACACAATGGGTCATCTGTGTTATGCCCACCGCAGTTACCGAACCCCCAATTTTAGCATTATAAGCCATGAGACTTAGCACTAAGCTATCGATGGACACTTTCAAAGTCAAGTGCCATTAATGTCGTGATGATTTTTATATGGTGTACTAAGGGAAATACTTTGGAAGAAGAGTTATTATTATTGTTTTGCGAATAATCACTCATTAATTTAACGATATTTTTTGTAATTTACATGGTTATCTATTACATTGAATAAAAATATTTTTTTAATTATGAGTATTTTTTAAAGAACATAAACATCACAAAGTTCGCGTTCCGGGTTTTATCCGCTGTTGGCTTTTAAATTAGACTCATATTTGAGTAAGCTACGAGAACTTGACTTGTAAGAGGAAAAAAAACAACAACTGAGTTTCAACAATATTAATAAGCAAGTTTTCGAATGTACTTGAAGTAGGTTTATTTCCATTAAAATATTTTGCATTCCGATTGACGATATGCATTCTATGTTTTTATTCTTTTGTATGTAAATTGTGAAGGAGCTAAAAAGTAAAATATAAAGCCAGTGAAGTAATTTATCATGTGAAACGTGTTTTGGAATGACTTAATGAAGTTAATCTACCTTGTCTTATGTTATTAATTGCTAATTACATGAGTTCTAACATTGTATAAAAAGTTCTATCGATTTTTGTGTGTAACATAATTAAACTGATATTCGTGTTGTTATTATTATGTTGGTTTTATTAATGAATAATTGTGGATTATAATTTATATTTATAAACTGTTAGTGTTACTTATAATGTATTGTAAGTTGTACAACTCTGTGTAACTCACTAACTGTAACTTGTGGGAGACGAACCACTTTTAGTTTTATTAAGTTTTACTTTTAAGTTGTGACTTGGACTGTTGGAGAGTTATAATTTATGAATGCATTTTTCAATAGTTTGACTTTTATATCATAAGCCTTGTAACAGGCCTGGTTCAAGACTCAGTTATTGATTTGTATCGTTAATCGATATTGACATGCGTTTGATTAATCGTAAAGGGTTTAAAATTTAATGCAAGATCTTTATTATTGTCACACAGGCCTGAAAATTTGTCTCGAAAATAATTTATGCATACCCTGTTTTTCTTACAGTTGCTAGTAATATAATGATAAACAGAATCTTAATTGACAACCAATAAAACTAAACTGGTAATTTTTTTTCTGTGGCAACCTTTACTTTAGACTTTAGTACTGCTCACTACTAGTACTGTAGTAGTATTAGTAATGATACTATTATATTACTACTAATAGTATTAGTAGGATTTATTACTAAACATTGGTTATATTGTCTCATATATTACTAGTGTAATCAATTGTCAGAATCATTTTATTGGTTGATTGACTACCATGTGACATCATATCATTGCATTAGAGATAGCACATTTTTTCTGCAAACTGTCAGTGATTGAAAAAACACCATCTGTTGGAACATAATGATATTATTACTAATTTTCAAGTAATTAACGAGGTAGTTTTTGGTATCCTGCTGTATATATCTTGTCAAAACTGGCCCATCAGTATATCAGAAATCATCTGAAAGTCATTGTACATGGTATTGTTTTGATAATCTGTTATTCTTTCTTCAAAGTAATGCACCTACAGTTGTGCATGTTCAGTGATACTGCAGAAATTTATGGGAAAAGTGTGGAACAAATTATGTGCTATAAAAATATTTACATAAAACTATTACTTAATAAAATACATGAGTGAATCACAGTATTTTTGCAATTGCCTATTAAACAGTAAACTTGTGTGATTTCATAGTAATGTTATTTTACTTGATGAACAAAATAAAACTTTATGTTTACAAATATTGAAAATTAATAAAATCATATTTTATCTATTAAAAAGTAAAAACACCATCATTTATCACAAAGAACCAAACATCAAGATACCTTTATTGAGCTTTAAGCAATCTCCAGTCATGTGACTTCTTTGCTTTGTACTGTGTATATATATATATATATATTTCTGTGTCTAAGTAAACTACTTGTACCTTATGAGGACAAAACCTTCTCCAAACATTGTACATTTGATAGTGTTACACTTTTTAATTGTTTTTCTAAAACATACTTACCTTCTCTCTCACTACAGCTATTAGTTGACTGCTAGGATTTCTTTCCTTTGCCCATCTAAGCATTGATCTGATTTGTTCTCACTTGCTCCAGTCTTTTATTCCCCACTTAATTGCCCTTGGTGAAATCTGTCTCATAACACTATCCACCTATATCAGTGCACCCTCTATCTTGGTACTGTATATAAGCACCTCATTCAGGTAATATTATCATTTGTCTTGACAAAGAGTTCACTAATAGGTTTCTCTGTTCTGTGACTGTTGTAGATATTTTGAGCATTCTTTGAGTTCCAGAGGCAAATTAGGTCTCCTATCCCACCTCTGATATCTAGCATTACTCTGGGAGGGGTGGAGTCACTCTCAGTTGAGGCTGTTCATGACCTTAACCAAACTGAGTTGAAGACAATATATATATATATATACGGTCCAGAGGTGTTTCTCCGGGAGGCTCTAAGGCTGTACTTGCAGGCAATCTTTGACATTCTGTAGAAAATTTCGATTTGCTTTTTCCAGTTTGGATCAGCCACCTCTGGCTCCTTTCATTCAATTGGTAAATCAAGTGTATGATGCTTTGGGTCTTTTTATGGTTTCTTTTGAGTCTGTGCCTTCCTTGATGGTGGAAAGGTCTGAGGGTGAATACTTAGTTTTCCCTCCATCCTCTGATATTGTGGTTCATGCAGGGAGGTTTATTGCTCAGTTATATGAAAGGACAGCTATTCCTTGTCTGCTACATTTTGGAACAACATGCTTTAGCCTACCACTGCCAAGTGGATGCATATTTAAATTCTCAAAGAATAGACCTCTCCTGAAAATGTGGTGTTCCAGAACAGAGTCTGTGGTCGACCTGAATAAATCACAATTTTCTAGGATTTGTCTGACCCTAACTATGGTGCTAAGATATTTATAATCCCTGCACCTTCTGTTGGAAGCCTTTCAGTGATTGCCACATCAATTTGATGATGAGTTGGGACTATTGTTAGCATCTACCTTAGTTTGATTGTCAGCTTCTGGAATTTCCCCTCGTATCTTGGCTGGTATGTTATGTTGGGATTTGTTGGAAGGCATCCATCTATCGATTGCCACCCTCCATGTGTTAGATGAGGTTCCCTTTCTCTGACACTTGATTTTTGCAGGGGTTCTCAACTTCTCTCAGCTCCTAAAGGGGGGGGGGGGTAATAGTTCTGCCCCGGCATCAGCTCCTCAGTCCATTGGTACCCAGAATAGATTCAGACCATATACACAAAGTTCCTCCTCTCTGTCAGAACACTGCCAGCAGCAAAAATGCCTGGACATGTGGAAAACCTTTACCACAGATCTGTGGGTACTATAGGTCCTTGAATCAGGATTAATCATTCAGTGCACATCATTACCACCCTTATCCACCCAGTCTGTTGTGTTTCTGCCTTCCACAGATCCACGGATTTCAAAACTGCATTCCAGGGCTATCAGAGATTTGTTGGTCAAGGGGGCAGTGTAGAAAGTTGTCTCAGTGCTCCCAGGGTTTTTTTCCTGTGTGTTTGTTGTGCCCAAACAAGACAGGAGATTGGCATCTGGTCATCGATCTTTCTTGTCTCAGTCAATTCCTTTATCCTCCAAGGTTCATGGTGGAGTCATTCCTAATTCTGTGTTGGAAATTTTTTTTGCTAGGATTGTGGATGACCAAGTTAGATGTCGCCAATGCCTATCTGCACATTCCTATAGTGGAGTCATCCCACCACTATCTGCATTTGTTGAACAAGGTTCAGGTGCTGCAGTTCAGGTTTCTGCTCTTCAGACTAGCATCAGCACCATATATGCTGAATCGTACAAGCTTTTTCTTTTCACCTCCATTCCCTATGTCTGTGCACACAGCATTACATGGATGACTGGTTACTGGTTAATGCAGGCATTATTATCAGAGCTGAGAAATCTATTCTCACCCAAACTCTATATATCATCCATCTGGGTGTCTTTTTCAACACATATCTCAGTCAGGCTCAGCTGACTCCCATCTGGCTCCACGTTATGGAACAGGCAATCCAACTCTTACATCCCCTTCTCCCACTGTATGGATTGTTCTTTCTCTTTTGTGGAGATGAGTATCCCTGGAATCTCTCAATTCTTTGGGACGATTCCTTCAGTGGTCTTTATGTGACTAACGGATCATGTAAAGCAATTTACTGGATTTCCCAGTCTCCTTATTCAGGATCAATATCTTCGATTTCAAGTGGTGGTTAGATCGGACCAATACTACAATAGGTGTTTCTCTGCTGCCACCTTGTCCAGAGATCCATCTCTTCACGGATGCCTTGCTTCAAGGATGGGATGCATATCGCGAAAGTCAGGAATTCTAGGACCTATGGATGGATGACGAAGCTTCCCTACACATCAATGTTCTAGAACTTCTTGCTGTTCAAAGGGTGTTGTCTCAAAGTCAGGACTTATTGAGGGAAAAAAATTGTCATGCTTCACTTCAACAATTCCACAGTGGTGTCTTACATTTCCCATCAAGGGGTTACTCAGTCCAGGTCTCTCTGTTTTCAGACCTTAGATCTTTTTTCTTGGGCCCACTCCTATAATATCACTGTACTAGCTGGCCATGTTTTGGGGGTGATGAATTTGGTGACAAATCAATTGTCTCGACCCAACTGGATTCTCCCAACAGAATGGATGCTGCATTGTGAGGTTTTTCATTGCATTTGCTCATAGTTTGGGACACCTATGATCAGTGTGTTTGCCACTCATTGGAACACGCAACTGCTGGCATTTTGGTCTCTGGTACCTTACCCTCAGACATTGACAATAGATGCATTCATTCAGGACTAGATGGGATTGCATCTCTGTCTCTTCCCACAGATTCATATGTACTAGCTATGATTCGTTCAACCCCTTGTCATGTTCTGTTGATAGCACCAGATTGGCTGGCTCAACCTTGTTTACACTTATGCAGTACCTTCAGGAGTGCCCACCTCTTCCACTTACTTTTTGGCCACGATTCAACATCGTACACCATCCAATCTGGATCTCAGGCTTCATGCATGAAGGTTATCTAGTCCTTTGCATGTCATTGGGGTTTAATTTCTAAGGTTGCCAGGTATCAATCTCTGCATAGTCCCACGATGAACATTTATCAATGGTGTATTGCGAGAAGGTTGAACTGACTTCATCTTGAAGTGCCAACCAAAGCTCGTTTTTAGACCTGGCTCCTTGACAAGGGTTTCGCATCTTCCACAATTGTCTTATATAAGGTGGCTTCATCAATTACATTTAGATACTTGAAGAGACAAAAATTATTTGAGTCCCCAGTGCTCCCTGGCCTCCTGAAATTGTTTCGGTTCTTTCATCCCAAACAAC